CTGTTCTTCTAGTGAGTGATGTTTCTCCCTCTAAATTGACGCTTTTCACAGGAGTGGATGGCTCCTCCATGTATTTCTCACCTCAAGGAGACATTTGGCAAAGCTTTAAAATCATCCAAGTATTTTGTTACAGCTACTTTGAGGTGAAAAGCTAGTTTTCTAGTTCAAAAGATGTTTTGGCACTAACGGCTAATGATGGCAAAATAAAATAAAAATTTAGATGCAAACGGTCTAAGGCAAAATGAGACGTCATGAATCACTGAACTGTTTGGGCTGATTTGATTTTCTTTTTTCTCTTTCTTCCCAGTTTGAGAAAAGTTCTGCTTTCTCATCCCAATTTGGAGAATTAACACACTTTGAACATCCAAACCAGTCAACTATTTTCCATCCAGCCTTGGAATTAGTCCATTGCTGTAATGTGCCATGGTTTCTACTATGGCTACAGTTACTCAACCATTATGTAGAGGAGGAATGAGAGGTGATTTAACTCCTCCATCCTTAGGGGCAGTGAACAGACACCAGCAGTGCTGCTGCACAACCACGAGAGCCTTAGTCTCAGTTACTGACACAGTGGAGTGAGCTTAAAGCTTAAAATTGAGAGCAGGGAAAATCTCTAGGAGGGAGCCACGTCGCGGCGCAGCAAGGCAGATCCAGCTGGCTTTGTGATGACTCAGCTTCAGGGAGATAATTGCAATCTCCAAATATCAAGGGATGTTGCTGCCAAAGAAGGAAAGGAAATATTTATGGTGGAAGAGAGTTCAAAGGCAGCATAGCTGAGCTGCTTGTGTGAAAACAGAGGTGAGATGATCCAGGCTGAGCAGTAAGGAAAAGTATTTGCCTGTGAAATTAGCCTCCTGAGTTTGGAAGAGTTAGAAACTCCATCATCTGGGATGCTCAAAATTACACCAAACAAGATCTGAGTGAGTTCTCTCCAGGAAGCAATCATGCACCAGCTGAGACACATCTCTCCTACCTCCCCACCTCTTCATTTCACTCCATTTTCTCATATAACTGCAGGTTTCAGCAAGAAAACCATTAGATCCATGTCCCCAGAGGTCCCATGATGATCCCTCAATTGGAACTAGAAGTTACTTCACCCTCCTGCCAACAGGCTGTGAGGTGGCCCTGCCAGACAGGTGGGATTTGTTTCCCCAGGGGTGCTTGACCTCTGCAAGGAGGGAAATTGAATGCACAGCCTCTGCATCCCTCAGCAAGCTCGCAGCACGCAGGCTGCCCCACGTCACATCCCTGTAGCACAGTTAGCACAGCACTGCCACTGACTGCAACCACCTCCAACACCACCCGAGGACAAGGGAAGCAGTTTGACACCACCCCTGCCCTGGCACCACCGGCCTCTCCACCATGTTATCAGGGGAAGGGATAAAAAAGAGCAGGAAAGGAATGGGAGAGCCAGAGTTTCCTAGAGGAGCTTGGCAAGATGCCTGTCAGGAGCCAGAAAATAAATTCAAAAGCTTTCTCTGAACAGCTCAAGGATTAAAGCATCTGTCCTGGGGCAGGCAGCATGAGGACTGGCAAAGGTTGGACACCACCAGATGTGAAAAATCTTTGTAGAGGAAAAGCATCACCATCCAAAGAGAGGAATATAAGAGCCTCGGCTCTTGATGGATGTGTCTGCAGCGAGCAGCAGAGGAGAAGGTGCCCTTTGCGTTCCCTGCCAGCTTTCCTCCACAAAAAGCAACGAGGATGAAAGCTTCACTGCTGCAACACTGCTGAGATGGACAGAGGTCAGACTGCTCCCAGATCTGCCCAGCAGCTCCCTCCTACGAAAAGCAGAGGCTGTTTGCTGTAAAAGCCTGCTGCCCCTTTGGTGTGAGCCCTGCCCACCTCGAACCTGATGTCCCTGGGCTGCACCACGTTCTCTGCACCGTTCAGGCTCTGTCCTGCGGCTGGGACAGCTGCATCACCTCCTGTAGCTGGACCCAGTGGTTTGGGTGTTGCCTGGTGGGTGGTAATGGGGGACGACCTTGACACTTGATGTGAAGAGAACTGATCGCATCAACGCCACAGCCATCTGCGCCCCTCTGGTCCCCTGGGGCCACAGACTCCCTCTCTCCACGCTCTCTAGGGATTGCTACAGGGTGTACTGGCATTGAGGCCAGTGTTTGGTACGTGACTTTGGCAGAAGGCAGGGTCCTTATCCCCATCTTACAGAGCGAGGAACTGAGCTACAGAGAAGTGACTTGGCTGGATTCATCCAGTTCAACTCAAGCACAGCAGAGATGGAAAACCACGCTTTCCAGCTCTGAGCAAATAATCCAGTCCACAGATGCAACATCCTACCCTGTTTGCCAACCACTATATTTGTGTTTGCTCTTGCTTTCAGAGAGAGGCTGAATTACCCCTAGTTACAATTCAAATTAGAGGAACTATAGCTTCTTCAGCCATCAGCACAGGGAAAACCAGCTGGAAAGGAAAAGGCGCTATCAGCTATGTCAGGGATTCAGATTGATTTTTCTCCCTGTGTTCCAGAATATTTTGACATCAGAGTGAGACCAAGTGAGGAGAAATTTTCATCCCAGAAGAGCAATTGTTTTCTTTTAAAAGGTTTAAAGCTGCTAGAAAAGAGACTTAAATTTGAAGTGACCATTTAGCCGTAACTGCAACTTTGCCAGCAATTTGCTATAATGTGGAATGACTCAGAAATACAAAACCAAGGGGAAAATCTCTTCCTTTGTTCAAGGGGGAAAAGAGATGTATCCTTCTTTAAAACAGAACTGAAAGCTCTGCAATATTACATTGAATTCAGAGCAAAAACTGCAGAGAAAATACTCCTGAGTACCTGGTCCCAATCCTATCAGCCTCCCTCTAACTGTTAATACTTGGTCCTGCTATTCACAACAGAGGGGTGTAAATCAGATAAACAGCCAGATAAATCAGTTCTGAAAGTCACCTGCACACTGTTATTTTCCTGTACCAAGTGATGTTTCTAGCTGCCACTTTTCCAGTTGGGTAGAAATCGCTGTGTCCCGTGGCCAGGGGAATGTGTTTGGCTTGTGGCTTCCTGTGCAAGGAGGGCAGGATGGTAAATCTCGGGCCTAAAAATGGGGAATATGGGCCCTATAAGCCCAAACATGCATCTCCCAGTTGCTCTCCCGTTTGCGACTTCTCTCCTACTCCATGTGCCTGACACGTCAGACCCCATGGCCATGGGCCAAAATTTAAGCAGAGCCATGTAGTGATGCAAGCAACACGTAAGAGGTTTACTCCCAAATGCTCTTCTACCGTCTGTAACCCACTTACTGTGTTAAAAACTCATCATAGCAATAAGCAGTGGGGATCTCATTAAGTGCCACCTATGAACACTGAAGATACTGCTCTTGTATCTCTGCAAGAGCCTCTTTGGCAGATGACACGAGCCTGAAAACTGCTTTCACCAAACTAAATATGCTTCAATGAGAAAGCACCACTCCTTCATACTTGGCAGAGTCATCTACAGTCATCATAAAAATAACTCAGCGAGGATTTAAAAGATCTTCTGTGAAGAGCAAGGAGCAGCCATATCTGTGCCCTGGGATACCCCAGGCGCCACCAGACCAGGACCAGACGCTGCAGCTGTTCCCTCCCAGCACCCAGAGCTCTGTGCCCTTCTCCACACCTGAAAATCTGAACTCCTGCCTCAGGCAGCGCCTGGGAAGGCCTGGCACACACGGCCCCGCTCAGCCAGCTCTCTCATGAAGATGAATGATCCTATTTGATGCAATGACACGAGCCAGTAGCTGGGGCCATCTCCCAGCTGCTTTGAGGGCAAAGCAAAGCATTGAGGCTGACATGGAGAATGGGGCATCATCTGCATCTGCTGGGAAGGAGAGAGACGGATTGCCTGATAATTAGCCCTGGGGTGCTAATGACACTTAAAGCATTTACAACCATCCCTCTGCCCAGTCCCCTGAATTGAACAGGGAAGCTGCAGCATGCAAAGGGCAGCAGAAGACCTTGCCATGCCAGAGGTGAAGTCTCAGCAGGACAAGCTGTGCTGGTTTGCAGTGGCAGGACTGTGCACAGGATTTAGGCACAGAGCATGGCTTTGGGTCTTCCAGTATGAGTGCAAATTACTGCTGCACTTCTGAGTTGTGCTTGGTTGGCTGTGTCCATAAGGATGAAGGAAATCTGCCTTCCCTCTGAACCAGTGAGACCAGACGTGGCCTTTGGAGGATAGCCAGGGAAGGGAATGGGGCATCTCCACCCTTGCGATCCACAGGCACAACACCACAGCAGAGCTGGGCAAAGCTCAGACCTGAAAAGTCAGGAAGAACCTGCTCAAAAAACAACCAAATGCAACATTCCTACCATTCCTTGGAAATTAAATCCCCGCACAAAGAAGTTTTTTTTCATTTGGTCAGAACCTTCCACTCTGATTAGAATCAAAGCATCACATTCTGCCTTGTCTTCTCCCTGGTGGTGATAGGGTCACTGGTGATATCTCAGCAGGAAATTTCTAAAGGAAATGTCTTTCAAAACAAGCCCTTGCAATAAGAACATATCCATCTTATCAAAACGCCTTGTTCCCTGTTTTATTTTTAAACAAAATCTGCCCAGATGTGTGCTGTGAATCCATACCAGGCTGCATCACCCAGCCGTGCCTGTGGCTCACACCAGCCCTGCGAGGCCAGGAGAGGAATTCAGGCATTTGCTACCCTCTGCTGTTCTCCTCCTGCTATTTCACCTCCCTCTAGCAGAGGCCACTGCTATTTTCCTCTCTCTTTATGTCCCTATTCACCTGCCAGAGAGGAATCATCATCCTTTACATCAGAAGACACTGAACCTTCCCAAGCGCCTTTGGGCTGAGCCTGCTGCCCCCACAACCATCTGCTCCCCCAAACCGCCCGGACACATCTCCCAGATGTGATCGCCTCCACACGCAGAGTGCTTTCCTCCATCCCCCGGACTGCTTTTCCACACTGCCCGTTCTGCTCTCCAGACAGTCCCCCTGCCCCTAACCCTCCCCTCGTGCCGCTCCGCCCTCTGCATTACTCACAAATATGAACCAGCTCACAGGAGAGCTGGGCTCTGACCTGCTGAGCCCTTCGGCAGGTCTCAGAGAACGGCCTGGCATCACCAGGGTTAATTCCGAGGTAGTATCAGTGCAGTTCCTGCCTTTATTAACAACCCTTGACCCTTCACGGAGGTAAACAAGCCAAGAGATAAATGCCAGCCTTGAATCTTCGGTGCCCACGTTGAATATTTATCACCACCAAGGTCATTTATCACAGGAAGAGAGATCAGGGCATAATTCCTTCCTAATGAGCCATTTTGAGCTGACTCCTGATAGGATCTGAAGTGTGGAATCGCTTGCTCTGAAATCGGTTATTTATCGCAGCTGCCGAGCTGTGATGCGCTCCCTGGGGAGCTGCACGCCGCTGCCTGTCCCAAGGGTTGGGAGGTTCAAAGGGAGATAAATGTGACCCGGCACTGCGAACACAACTCATGGATTCCCTGCGATAACCAATTGTCACTGTCTTTAGCAGAGGGATTATATTCTGCTCTCTCCTGGAGCAGAATAGAATCACCAAAACATCGGTCCCAGTCTGAAACCCACACCTAGCAGCTATGGTGACATTTCTAGGTGGTGCTCCCTGGATCCGGTCTAGTTGTTGCTCTGGGGAGCCCAAAGAATCTCTTTAGGAGGCATCACGATCTCAGGAGATCCAGCTCTGGCTTCCACAGGCCCTCAAGGGCTGCAGAAAGGGGCACGTTCCCTTTGTGCTAAACATCGTAGAGGGATCAGAATCTCACGGCCAGGAGCCAGCCATAAAGCACTTGTGCCTCTTGTAGCCCTGCAGTCGTTCCCTGGATGCCCTTGAGGAGTCCCCAAGGGACTGGGGCACCTTCTCATTCAGTGCGGAAGCTGATGACAGTTTTGTTTGACAAGCTTAATCTCCACCAGAGATCAAACTTGGGCACCTCTGTCTCCTTGTGAATCTGGACTTGGATTGTAGCCCAGCTTTCTCCAGATTTAACTTCATCTCTGCAATCCAGGTCTCCCCAGCCAATTTTAGGGGACCGATGTGAGGAGATACAGGCTGAGATCCCCATGAGATCTGCCAACAGGGAACAGGGTGCGACAGTGCCAGAGGCAGAAAGTAGGTCTGTGTTTGTACAGCACAATAGGATGCTCCTCCATCCCTGGGCACTGCTGCAGTTCATACAAGCCAAGGGAAAATGAAACCTCCTGGATGCAAAATGCCCACAAACCCCAAATCCCTCCTTTCCAGCCATGTAGGGATGCAGAAACTACTGAGATGCTCCTGTATCAATTCTTATTTATAAATGGAATTTGCATGTGAGCATAACTCTCATCTCTCTTTTAGGGGGAGAGGGAGGAAGGTTAATTCCTAGTCAGAACAATACAGGGAATGATCTTTCTATGTACTTACCGAAGCAGTGGTTGTGCTCTCACCAGGATAAGCAAATGAATAACAAATGCTACAAGACGATAAGAAAGTGAATCTGTATTCTTGGCATTTTACTATGGGTGGCCCAAGTTCAGCTTCGTATGTGAGCCAGAATTTTGCATTTCAAGCAGAGATCCAAGCTCTTTGCTATGGGAGAAGGGTATCCCTTCTCCTGACGCTGCGGCAGACGTTATGTGACTGCTAAGCACTTTTTCTGAGAACTCACAAACAAATCCCTTAATGAGCTGATGAGCTAAAATGGATGCAAAAATAGGAAATTTCAAAGTTGTCACACCTGCCTCAGATCATATATATTTTTAGCCTGGTTCCCGCAGGAAATGAGTCCATGGAGTTGTTCGGAGTCTGTCCTGGCTGGCTGCCCTCTTTGTAATAACTTTTGAACACGAGTTTCACTCAATTTTGACAGAGTGGAGATCTCAAAGATACTATCAAGCTCCTACACATTTAGTAAAAAGAGGTGATCAGAGAGAACAGCCACAGCTGTGCCATGACTCAGCCTGCACCAGGCAGGAGGCGACGCGCAGCCCTGTACCATAAATCGAAAGGAAACCTTCATTCGTTCTGCTGCGAGCACAAGTCTGTGTTTTTATCCCAAGTGATTTCAGGCCAGACTTGGTTTATTTATGCTAAAACTGTCAGAGAAACTTGAGAGCTGGGGTGTAGGGGGATTTTTTTTTTTTTCTTTTTAAAGAAACACTAAAGATTCATTCATCCCATTATTCACCAGGGCAGAGCTTTCTCCACAGGCACAGCCTGAAAACAAACAGCCTCCGGAGATGCTTGATCAGCCCTGCCCTTTCCTTCTTCTCTCGGCCAGGACAGAGGGGTGAGGCTGCCCTCACTGGATCTGGCCCCCACCCCTCCCAGCCAGGGCACCGGGAAATGTAAGGTTTTTCACTGATTTTCTCATGATTTCATCATTCTGGGAGGACAGGGAGGGAGGGCCGCCTTTATTTGTCATGATTTTCCCCAAGAATAATTGCTGGTGCTTTCTCCTGTCTCTAAGTTGTTGTGTGCTCTGTAGTTCTGTTGTATCTTAAACAAAGTGGTGGGTGTTCTCTGATTTCTCTTGGGTTTTTTTAACTTGTGCTGTTTTCTCATGTATACATTTTTTTCACAAGCCGGTAGGATGATTTGAACACATTTACCCTAAAAGCACTTCACCCTCCCCCTACATCTCGCCTCCAGAAACCCTGGTACAAATGAGAAGGAAATTTTAGCTTTACTCTTCCCAAGTTTCTGGCTGGCTCTGTATTTTAACTCTTCGCTTTTAGTTCTCAACGGACAATCATAGGAACCTAAAACTCATTTCCAGAACAAACAGGAACATAAAGAAAACACACCCTTTTTAAGAGATTCCAGTCTGAACCAAGAGATTACCTGAAGTGTCCCAGGCTTGAATACAAAATTCTTGCTGGAAGCTGTGGGCTGAGCTCTTGCTTAGGATGGACCCAAGCTGGCAGAAAAGAATTCCCCTCTGGTCTGTGGTCACGTTTTGCTCTCCTTTGCTCAGTGACTTCTGTCATTTCTCCCTCTGAGACTTTCAGTGCATGTCATTTCCCCTCAAAACCACAATTTCCTATTTTCTTCAACATGTTCTAATTTTTCCAGATACCCTCCGTGGCCAGTTCTAGGTACCCTCCATAGCTGGAGGCCCTGGAGTCTCCCTCTTGAGTTATGGGGCAAACTCACCCTCAACGTAGGCTTTCTGGCTTTTTTCCGCCTCTTGGTCTGCTTTCCACCAAAAAAACCTTGCATAGCACTCTCACCATCTACCTCCTCCTCCTTCCCACTGATCCTCTCTCCTACCACGTCTCCTCTACTAGGTTATCCCCACCTATATTCCCTCTAGTGCATCCCGCCCAGATGATGCCCAGAAGAAGGGCCATGTCTGACAAAGTTCAGACCTGGTGAGCGTGACCAAGGTGAGCAGGAGACGCGATGCTGCCCAGCCTGTGAGCAATCACTAAGGTGACAAGGAGAAGCAGCAGATTCCTCATTGCCATGGCAACAAAATATTCCATGCTGTGCAGTGGGGGAGAGTGCTCTGTGCTCCGGGTGTCTGGCCAGAGCTTGGGGGACCCAGGGTGTTGGGAACCACGGGGATCCTGACTTTGGTGTTTTGTAGCTGCTCAGATAAAAGATGAGTGTGGAAGTGGATATATTCTGCTCTGGCTCCTTGGAGGGCCGAGGGCCTGGAAGAGGAGACCAGAGGGAGGTGAGCACCCTCCAAGCACTGCCCCTCTGCTTTTCTCCTGGGACAGCCAGGGTCCCTGCCTTGGGACCTGCCAGCCATCTCCAGCTGGGAACACCGAGGGGGTGAGCTCTGCAAAGCTGGACCTCCCTGAGCTGCTCCTGCCTGGGTGAAGTAGTCTCCCCATCCAGCCTGTCTCCAGGGGCTGGTGAGAGGACCCTCTCCTCGCTGCCCACTCTGCCAGTGACCTGGGATGTGGCTTCCCAGTCACAGCCAACACAAGCAGAGATGGCCCAGTCTGGTCTCCAGCAGCTCTGTTTAACAGCCTCACTTCTTGACACTTACTCCTCCAGCTCCTGGCCTTTTCTCTCCTCTAAGCACATAAACAACCCCAGGCCTCCATGTAGGATGGTCCCCAATGGGGCTGGGTCCATCCACATGCCACACAGGTTCCCAGCCTACTCCAGCCGCTTCCCACCCCTCCTCTCTGCTCAGCTCCAGGCCTGTTTTTTGCAATGCCCTGAAATTCCTCAAATGTGTCCCCAGTTTTTGTCTCTTTCCCTGGACTGGACCTCGTCTTCATCCACATGGAGAGCAGCCTGTATTCACTGCCCTGCAGCCCTACCAGGATGGAGGCGGCTGATCACACCTACCACGGGGTCCAGGACAGGGCAGGAAGGTTCCAGCTCCTCTCAGCTGCACAGTCAGGAGCAAGCAGCTGCGATGGGCTCTGCTACTGCGAGGAACAGAGGGGTAGGAGAGGGGAAGCAGCCAGCCAGGGAAGAAGCAGGTCTGTGGAGCAGGCGAGGGGCACATGAAGATTGGGATCTCCTAAGACTGCATGTGTTGGGGGGTGCTGAACTGCAAAAAGGACATGAGTTACGGGGTAATACTTACTCATTTTTCTGTCCTAATAAGGTCTGAGAAGTTTTATTAAGAAAGTTTTCAGGCATTTGGATGGTTCTTTTGTAGATCGTGACATTTCTGGCAGAAGAGACGGCACTGGGTTTCTTAATTTCTTCCCTCTCCCTCCATAACTTAACAGAGAAGGAAGGGGAAGAGCAGCTTTGGGAGTCCTTGTAGAGTGTCAGCAGTGGTTTAAGGAGACCAAATCTGGGACAGTCCAGGAGAGCATGACACAGCCACCCAGTAACTAGGCCAGCTCAGCACAGGACAGCCAGCTCCTGGTGATCACCGTCCACCCCTCTGTCTCCTGCACTAGTGCCCAACTTGTTGTCAGTCACCAAAGAGGGACATCTCCTCTTCCGCCACTTCCAAGCTGGCAAGAGTGGGAAGTACTCCTGCACCATCTCCCACATGAAGCACGGTGTCCCTGTGTCCCAAACATTTCACTACAGCATTTTTGATGAGTCCAGCACCATGCTAACAAGCAGGGGGGCCAAGCAAACAAGGGCAGGAAGGACTTGAGAGGCCATGGGGTGAGAGGAGGGGTGGGACGATACTCAGCTCTCTGCATGAGGGAGCTCTCTTGGTAAGGGGGGAGAACCAGGCACCTTTCAGGGTTTTCTTCCACAGGCTACCATGTGCTTGGAGGCCTGGACACTGTGCTGCTCTTGCACAGCAAGCTCTGGGATAAGTGAACCAGAAAGTTCCTGTGGGGTCTACAGGATAAGCTGAGGCAGCGAGAGGATCGAGCAGCACTGCAAACTCCAGGGCACTGCCACCTGCTTGCCCTTGCTCAGCAGCCCTTCGGATACGTTCATCAGCCAAGCATGGCTGGAAGGTAGAGCCCCAGGCAGAAGCACCACAGCAGAGTCCCCACGGGACAACGGAGGCAGTGGGGTAGAGTGAGAGGAACTCAGACATCACGGTTCATGCTTGCAGGGGGAAGAGGGAGGCAGCACAGGGCTGAATGGAGTGAAGCGAAGTTAGGGGAAGGCAGCGGTGTGGAACAGCTAGATTTGTTGAGGGCTTTGCCCATCTCCTGCTGGAGCTGGGGCTGCCTGAGCTGCACTGGTGACTCTTTGTACTCTAGTGTCTCTCTTTGGGCCCCACTGGGACAAATACTGCAGCTCTCAGGACATGGAGACAGTCAGAGGCTGCTACCACAGAACAGCCCGGCACAACCTCGGGCAGGTGAGCCCTGGGGCCAGTGTACGGCAAAGCAGGGAGGCTGGCACAGGGTGGGGGGTTGGAACCAGGACACTCTCTCCAGGCCCAGGTAGCTTCAGCAGTGCTGGAATGAAGAGGAACACCCCCGAGGGTTTGCTCAGTCCCTCTGGGGCCCAGCTAGAGCTCCCACTCAGGCTGGCGTGTGGTGCCTGTCCCCCCAGCTCACATGCCCCCGCTCCCACACTATGGCACGGCGTGCAAAAAGGTCTCAGGTTCCTCTTGGATGCTGACGTTGCCCTGCTGAACTCTGCCTGCTCTGCACTCCCCAGGTCCAGCTCGCCCTTACCAGGTTCTTCAAGGAGCACAAGTCCTTCCGTATCACTGGGGCTGATATCCCCAGCATCATCTTCACCAACGAGTTTGTTGGCTTCTTAAAAACCAAGCAGTGCAGCTGGAGTTATGGGCAGACCAAGCAGCTGCAAAGATGTCTCGACTGTTGCAGTAAGCCAAGAGTCCCCATCCCTTTGGTCCCCTCTCTCCTTTTCCCCATCTTGCCTCTTCCTCTCCCCATGCACAGCTCTGTGTCTCTGGGCTCTTGCTGCTCACCCCATGCACTCCCAGCCCAGGGAATTCAGCAGACAGGGTCATTTTGAGCCCCGAAGCATCAGGACTCAGTTTCCCTGACTTTTTGTTGAATACAACTTTATCAAGCAGCCAGTGCCGTTGCTTAGAAAGGCTTTTCTGCTTGTCATCTCCTCAGTTGTATGCCCACCAGGGATGTACAGCCCTCTTAAGAACAGCCAGTGCTCCCCGAGCCCTGTTGGGACCTACAGCCTGACCTACGGGGTGGCACTTTGCACTCCCTGAAAGGACAGCATGATCACCGTGGTGCCAGGTGCCATATCCATGACAGACTGTGTCAAGAAGGAAAGGACCAAGCAGGGTACACAGATCATCTGCTACTGAAGCAGGGCAAGGGGGGACTGGGGGACTCTGAACTGAAGGCAGGCACTACAGTGGGACCCCAGAGCAGCTGCTCCAAATATTGGCCATGGCAACTTCTACAGCCCTTGGAGGTCCCTTTGGAGACAGGTAGCTCTTGTGTCTTCCATCACCATCCCTGAAGAGATCACAGCTCCCTTGCTGTTCTTCACACCAGGCAGTCCTGAACAATCTGATTTCTCTCTCTCCACCTTGGTGTCCCCAACTAGCCTTGAGCACTGACAGCCTCACTGCTAGGGGTAATGTAGGTGACAACATCCCTGCCTGTCGCTGGGGCTGTGGAGAATTAGCATCAGGTTTATCTCCAGGGTCTTCTTCCTTTGAGTCTTCTCCCTTTGAGTCCATCCCACTGATTTCTCTCTCCTCAGCTGTCTCCATCACACACAGGATCTCAGTCCTGTTTCTTATCATCTTGCCAGCAATACTAGCCATCAACTTTCTCTTCATCCTGTAAGTCTGAGCTCTTTCTCCCAACATGAGTCATTTTGGGGGCAGTTTGTTGGTGTTGAGTCCCCCAGCTCAACATTCCTCTTTGGAACAGGAGATGAAGGAAAACCTGAGCCTGTCACTGTGACACCAGCAGGAGGTGGCATGCCAGAATAAGGGTGCAGAACACCAAAAACTGGGATAATCTTTGGCAACAGCTTACACAGCCATATAGGGAGTGGTTGGGTATGGCCTAGGGGACTTCTGGCCCTGAGAGCTGGTGCTGGGTGGCTGCAGGGCTCTGGTGCTTGTCCCTGGCATGAAGTTCCCATTTTTCACTATGGGCTTCAGTCTTTCTGTGGCAGCTCTTGTTACTGGTTCTATCAAGAGTACAGGTGTCATCTCCAAGGGCTTCCAAGATGACAGAAAGCACCACGAGGATGGAGATAGTGACCAGCTTCTTCAGAACCCCCAGGCAGGGCCCCCACACTGGCCCTGGGGCTGGACCTGCCAGTGACACCAGCGAATATCAGGGGGGTGATGAGGAGCACACACATGGAGCATCACCCCTTGCTGTGACCCTGAACCTTGCTACTGTGATCGATGAAACAACCCCTGTACTGACACTGGAGGACAGAAAGGGCACTTTTTGAGATTCCCTCCAGGTGTACAATGACATTGAGGGACAACATCCCTCCAGCCACCACTGGACACATTTTGTTTGTGTCCCCAACAACCTCACACTGGCTGAAATATCCAGGAATGGAGAAGAGGGATTTCTTTTTTTCTCCTCTCCAAATTTTTCTTCCCAAATACCTCTGACTACAACCACCTCTTTTGCTAATAAAAATTGGCTTCTATTTGCATCTCTCTGCAACACTGGATGCTGTAGACAGCGTGGGACTTGAGGGTTACAAGGAAGGGATCTATCATCCAGGTTGTATTTAGTCATGGAAAGCATCATTCCCCGTCAGTCTTGCACTAAGGAATGACACAGTTTCCTTCCTATACCACTTTTTTATACACCCCTGAAAAAGGAGCTCCTAGGAAGAGTTTAAGCCAGAGCATTTGCTAGGGTCAAGGTCATATAGGACAGGTCAGGAAAAAGCTCAACCTCAGATATCTTCATTTTTGGAGCCAGGCTTTGCCATGTGAGGGACACAGAGCTTCCAGAAGGATTCCCACCTTCGTGACCTCAAAGAGGTTAGCATCTGTAGCTGAAACTTTCCTGAGCCCAGCGGCTGTTGAAGAGTCCAGGAGAGGGCAGCAATGCAGTGCGAGAGGCACCGCTCCAGCATACACCAGCCTGGGCAGCAAGTGGATGGTTTTTAGCAGAAATAGGCCCTGGATTCAAAATGTAAGGAAGAAAAGGGGCTGGCTCTGCTTCTTGACGTAAAAGTGGCATACTCAGAGCAGGGGCACCGGTCCAGCTCCAGGTCTTGGGTTTAGTGTGGTTGTTTCAGGGGCACTAAGCTGTCCCAAGAAACTTAGTAGTGCTTGCTGAGGCCCGGTGAAGGGAGAAATGGTGCAATTCATCCACTGCTGGCAGACCAGCCAGCCCAGCAGTGGCCAGTCTGTGGGCAGGAATGCCAGAAGGTGCCTGGGAGGTGAGAGGAGGGAGTGGAGCAAAGTGGAGAAGAGGCAGAGCAGGGGGCAGGTGTATGTGATGTCTGCGGGGAGGGGGCTGGGAGTCTTCTGGCACAAGGAGGTGCAGGCAGGAGCAGGCAGGAGGGCCTCTGGTTAACTATGAAGTTCCGTGGGTCTTCTGCTCCTCACAGCTCACAAGGCTCCTCTGTGGGACTACGATCAAACACAGCTTTGGCATCAGCAAGGTGAAGGTGGGGAGAAAGTCAGTGATGGGGGTGCTGGCTTTCCGGCTCTCAGAAGCCTGGAGAGCTGCAGTAAAATTAAAGGAGATCGTGGGAACAAACAGGTCAGATGTGAGTCCATCTCCTTAACGTTGCTCTGCCAGGCTGGAGGTGGAGTCCCTGGGGGAAGGCTGTGCATAGCTCCCCGAGGCATGGGGCACGAGGAGCACTGGGGCTCTCCCCTCTGATGAGGAGTCTGGATGTGCTCAGCCTCCTCCCTCACTCCCAGCTTCTCCCCTCTGCTAAATCCTATGGGGGGCTGCAAACCCCCTTTTGAATGAACCCGCAGGGCTGCAGCCCAAACCACAGGCATGCTAATGAGACAAAGCTACTGCCCACCCACTGCCTTGAGGAGGCTGTGTGTGTGCCAGAGAGACCCCGCGACGTGTAAGGAGACGGCTCGCCTGGCATAGGCTGGGATGAGGAGGCAGCAGCAGCTGCTGCCCAACTTAGCTCCGCAGCCCAGCTTGGAGGGAACAGATTCCCTCTGACTAATCTTGAGACAAGTGTAATTAGCAGGTCTGTGGTGGGGTCTGTGGGCGGGAGCCATGGTTGTCCCCTGTCCCTGGCTGCGTGGGCCGTCCTGTGAGCTGGTGGGAAGGGGTGGGGGGAGCTGGCTCTCAATACGGGCTGCTTTGCAACCCTGCAACCAAGGGCTGAGCAAAAAGCCTGGCAGAGAAATCCCCACCCCACCCCCATACCCAAGTCAGGCTCCTCCAGGAGGGTTCAAAGAACCCAGCGTGGAAGGGGTTTGGGCAGAGCAGGGCTGGAGATGAGCAGGTGATGCCCAGCTGATGCCATGGCTGCAAACCAGCATGGGTCCAGCGCACGCATCTCCGAACACTCCGTCATGGGGTTGGGCAAAAGCCTCTTTCAGTTCATTATGTTTTGCAGGTTCCTGTTTTTTTTCCTACAAAATCTTAGAGTTAAATACCCCACTGCCTTCCTGGTGTCGCTGTTCTACACGAACATGGGGAAAAAAAAAAGCTTCTCCCATTCTGGGCTTAATTAAAATGTCTGTGAAGCACCCACGTTATTTTCAGCGTCTGGGGATGTTTGTGTCAGTATGTGTTTAGGTGCTTCCCTGGACTGGGATCTAGGAGAAAGACTAAGGTCTTTCTGGAAGACCAAGGGGATTTCTGGTGTGGGGTGATAAGGCTGTAAGTGGCAGCAACACAATCATTTATAATCATCTGCCCACACTGCTATTTAACCAGACTGAGATAACTAATTAATGCTTGTGTTTGCAAGCAATCACCTTAAAAATATTCTTATTTTTGTCAGATTTCAGTCTTGCTGGATCCAAACAGGCCTTCTGTAAAATTAGGGCAATTCTGTGCATGCAATAGATTCCTGTAACTCAGGAATCAAAAGTTTCATTTTCCAAAGGTCAAAAAAATTGCCATTTTTAAAAAAAATGTTCTGGTCCAGAATTTATTTTATGTGTAAAACCCAGCTAGAACACTGTGATCAATTCTGCGGGGGAAAAGCAATGGGACATTTTGATTGGCCAGAATGAGAAACAAATAAAAGTATTGGAAACAGTAATTTCAAATGGGAAATCCAAACCATTTCAGCATGAAGTAATCAGACCTCTCAGTTTTATATTTGGGGAATGTTTTCCTTCTGAAAATTAAAACATGGTGAAGCATTGTAAAACTTCTGCTAGGTGAACGGTTGGACTAGATGATCTCCAGGGTCCTTTCCAACCCAGATGATTCTGTGATTCTGTGTGATTCTGGAGGTCACAAAGTCCTACACAGCCCGGGAGGGGAATGCTGAGCAAAGCTGCTGCCCAGTTCTCTGCAGGGCCCTCAGTCCAGCCCAGAAGAGGTTTCATCTCCCCTGTAAATTCAGGGTTAGGGCTTTCTCCCCAAGCTGCCAAACACCTTTCCTTGCATGTACCTCTTCCCTCATCTTCCTTTTCATCATCAGCAACCAGGTAGTCCAAAATATATGCTGGATTTGTGCATTTTGGAATATCCATGCTGGTTTGAGAGGCTGGGGGCTCTGCGCTCAAACTATTGTCCCAGTTTTGCTCTCATGCAGACTTGTTTGAATTCAGACTCATCCCAGTGAAACAGGAGCTGGGAAACACAGCTGGGTGAGTAAGAGTTAGGAACCAAAGCCACATTCGTAGCAGATTTTGATTTTCAGTTGCCTTTACCTCCGTGATATGAAAAATGGGACTTCCACAGATCCCAGATGACAGGGCAAGGGAGGACAGGAGGAGCAGAGCAGTGCAGAATTGGGCCCTCGATTGCATATTGGTATCCATGACAACCTCTCATTGCTACTTGCTCACAGGAATTGCTGAAACTCTCCACCTGCACCAGAGCACCCTTCTCTGAGACTGCAACCCCTTGCTGGGGGTCTCAGGGAGCCGAGGGAGTGCAGAGTGTCTGGGGTGAATACAGGCGTGGGCAGCGGGAGGTGGCACAGAGGTGTGATGCTCACAAGGACAAGAAACTCCCCATGTAGTGCCGAGGCCGTGAGCATCACTGCCCCCAGAGCTCCGGCAGCAGTGGGGATGGACAGACCCTCAAGAGGGTGAGTCACTCCATCCCTGCGCCCGCCTTGGGCTCTGGAGGCACCCCCAGTGCCCCCAGCCCTGCTCCCCAAGTGCAGAGTGCTGGCAGGCATGGACGTGACAGACCCCAGGTGAGCTTGCCCTCAGCGAGCAACCATGTCCTCCACGCATTTTAAAACTATCAGCTCACAGCTGCTCCTGCAAGCACAGCACGACTTCGCAGAGCAGCAGGAGCCACCCTGGAGTCAAACAGCATCAATGACCCCAGTGAATCCCTCTCGGGAGGGCTACCCTGCCCTGCACTGCTAACGCCGTGCTGGTTTCCAACACCAGGCTCTGCAGACTCACAGGCCCACTGGTTTTAATGACATGGGGAAATTTTCTCCACACAAAGGAAGCGAGTGGGGTCCTTTGAAGCCCAGCTCCCTTCCCCGATCAACACCAGCAGGATCACTAGGCTCATGTGATGTCTCATTTAGGCAGCTCTCCTGAGCACAGGATGTGTCCTGGGGAGGATGCACGTCAGCTCCAGTAATGAGGCAAATTGCATCCCAAACCCCTTTGAGGTGGCTGCTCAGGCCAGGAAGGCCAAGCCTGCTGAGAAACGTTAAAGCCCCCTCATCCTGCTCA